ATGGAGACAGAGCCAGCTTGTACAGTGGCAGCCCAGCTGGGAACCAGCACTGTGAAAACAAGCGCATGAAGCTCCAAATCGAGAGGCACTCGTAATGCAAACCTTCCGGGGAGCCCGGCACAAGGCATCCCGGAGCTGGGATGGAATTCAGCCTCTCCCGCTGCAGGAGCTGGGGTGGAGTTCAGCCTCTCCCATTGCAGGAGCTGGGATGGAATTCAGCCTCTCCCATTGCAGGAGCTGGGATGGAATTCAGCCTCTCCCGCTGCAGGAGCTGGGATGGAATTCAGCCTCTCCCATTGCAGGAGCTGGGATGGAGTTCAGCCTCTCCCGCTGCAGGAGCTGGGGTGGAGTTCAGCCTCTCCCATTGCAGGAGCTGGGATGGAATTCAGCCTCTCCTTCTGCAGGAGCTGGGATGGAATTCAGCCTCTCCCGCTGCAGGAGCTGGGATGGAATTCAGCCCTGAGTGGCTCCTGATAAACCCACCCCATCGCTACCGAGCTCCCCATTCAAGAGAAAATCAAGGGGCAGCAGGGAGGTCAGCCTAGCATGTTTGCTCCTTTTTTCCTCGTTCTTTTTCTGGGTTTGCAGATGCCAGGAGATGCCTTTTCCATCATCTCAAGCTACCTCCAGCACCGCTTTGAGGCTCTGTTTGTCCAAGGGTGATGTTGGCACACAGTCCCTACTGGAGTGGGTCTGAGGGCTGATGCTCCTGCACCACAAACCAGAGTAAATATTCCTGGAGTCCACAGCAGGCACTGCCGTGGGGGTTCATAGGAACCGGATCCAATCCGAGATTTCTGAAGCACAGCTCTCCTGAGCAAGGAGAAAGGGACTTTCCCCCTAAAAACCTCTGCAGCAAACAGGTGTCCTGCATGCCAGGGCCAGAGCCATGCAGCTCCAGCTGCTGGAGGCATCAGCAATCTTTCCTCTACAGCAATTACTCTGTGAGCCATGGAAAACCAGGGAAAACCCAACCTTTTCCTCTTAATGAGTGCCCTGCCTGGCTTTCCATCAATACAACAACAGGAGCTCTCTTTGTTCCATTTACCACATCCATATTCTGCTCCTTGCTGCATCCCCAGCAGATTTTAATAGAGGTCTTTGCTCATGGATACCCCTACAGACTTCTGGACAGAGGGGAGTCATTAACAGAAAATCAAAAGCCATCCCAAGGCACAGGTGTGGTTTGGGGACAATTTTCTAGAGAAGTAGGAGTTATGGGGGGTGAGGAGGGTGGGAGATGCTAGGGGGGCACTGTGCTGCATCTCCCGAGCAGAATGAGTTTTGTATGAGAAATAATTCAGCATCAGCCCAGACACTAAGCAGGATCCATGCCTATAAACACCTATGTTCTCTCCTTCTGGCTTGATTGCAGTTTTAGCCAATTTACCCTGATGAAGAGGAGTGTTTTGGTACAAACAGTGGTGCTGACAGGCACATGGTGGCAGCAGCAAGTGCCAGCCAGTGAGGAAAACCAACCCCAGCAGCCTGATGGTGGAAAGCTGAACAGCTCCAAAACCCAGCAGCAGCTTGTCCCCTCTGAGCCACAGCTCCCTTCATCTTCCTGGGTTTATAGTGAGGACAGAAGATTTAAAAAAAAAAACAAGTAAAAATTCCTTTTGCTTCCCAAGTAAATATTCCTTTTGCAGGGTTAGTGGAGCAGAGCAGAAGTGAGCTGCCCCTGCCCCATGGAGGTGGTTGCCATCCATGACACATTTTCTTTTGGTTTCAAATGGAGAGAAAATATGTTTTCCAAGCTACACAGCAGCAATATGTTGGTCTTGCTTAAACATCTGGAATAGTTCTGAATGACTGCTTTAATTGAGCAGAGCAGCAATTATGGAGTTATTTCATTTCAGAGGTTTTGAAAGGGTTTTTTTTTCCCTTGATGACTTAAAGGAGAAGACTAAACCCCATGAATTGCAGGGCTCTGTGGGGCTGCCATGCAGGAGGAGCTGGTCACAGCCCAGCCCCAGGCAGCTGAACAGCTCAGCAGCCTAAATCTGAGTGCATCACTAATCCACCAGCCAGGTCCTGCTTTAAATTTAAACCATTTAAAATATTTAAGGGTTTTTTTCATCATTTTAGCAGTTAAGATTATTCCAGGACAAGACTGCCCTGTCTTCTCTCAGGGTTCTTTGAGATGCTGATGAGAAAGTAATTTCTATACTATGATGTGGCTAGAGAGTGAGCTGGGCTGTCCAAATCAGTCATCTCTCTTCAGGATGAGGAATTCACTAATTTTTCCAGCGTGAATGTGAAATTCCTCCAGTAAGGAGCATATGCCACCCTTCCCAAAGCCTTCACCAGACACCCAGAGACACAGTGATGAAAAACTGGGGTCCCAATTCCCCTTAAAACACAGGACAGGTCTTCCCATGCCAGAGCTTGACCTGGTGATGGCACCAAGGGCCAGCCTGAAGCTTGGGTGCCTTCATCCCACACCATCCTGCCTCTTCTAAGACCCAGCTGCTTGACTAGTTTAAGTCAATTTAGTGCAAACCCTAGCACAGAAATCCAAGTATTTCAAACTCAACTCAGAGCAGCCACAAAGCTCAAGGAAAATAATTAAATAATGGATGGAAAGTGGGAGCACAGTCAGACCTTTTCCAGCCCACACTCGAGAGGTGCCATGCTTTGGATAAAAGGATGGATTTTGAGAGGTTTTTCTCAGAGTTGTTGTTTTTTACATGGCTAAAACACAATCCTGGCAAAGCAGAGCCACTGTGGAGAGGCCAGGACAGGAACATGCTGCCCTGAGGGGAAAAGGAGGCTCAGAGGGGAACTTATTGATCTGTACACTGCAAGGATGTTGGAGTCAGGTGGGAGCCAGTCTCTTCTCCCAAGTAACAAGTCACAGGATGAGAGGAAATGAGCTCAGGTTGTGCCAGGGGAGATTTAGATTGAATATTATGAAAAATTTCTTCATGGAAAGGGATGTCAAGCACTGGAACACACTGCCCAGGGAATTGGTGCAGTCACCACCCTTGGGGGGATTTAACAGATGCAGAGATTTGGCACTTGGGAACGTGGGATGATGGTGGGAGTCGATAATCTCAGAGTTCTTTTCAAAGCTGAACAATTCCATATTTATTCCATGAGAACAGGTCTGTTTCATCCTGGCTGTGCAGACCTGCTGAGCTCTGGCTCAGCTGCCCTCTTCCAACACAAACCTTCCTTTAAGCCAGAAAATAAAACCTCACCTGTGAGCCAGCCCATCTCACAGCCAGCTGACTCCTTGAGCAACCCAAAAACCAAACCCAGGTTTTATTCCCAGCCCAAAGATCCACATTTGCTCAGTAACAATTTCTCATTATTATTCCTAGCTAGAACATGCAGCCTTTCAGTGGTTGCTCGAGGTATAAAAATCAGCACAATTTGAACAGTGATCAACCAAAACATGAAACGAATGCTGGGTTTCATTTAATAAACTTCAGCAACACTGAAGCTGCCTTGTGGACACAATGTAATTTGTTTTGGATGTAAAGATGGGAAAAAATAAATGGTTTGTCTTCAAGACAATTAAAATAAAATGATATTTTTGTATTGAGAGGAAAGAAGTTGCCAGGTAAAAAATCATATTTGATAAGCTATTTTTCCTGTTCCCTTGTATTAGCTTGCAGCTTGTCAATTCTTGGTTTGCTAAAAGCCAAGAAGTCATTATGTGTCACCTGAAAGTCCCTGCTACTGGTACTATGAGAGCCACACAGTTTGCTGAAGAACAGCAGAAAGGGAGAGAGGGAGGGAGGAATGGCAGTTGCTGAATTGTTCTTGAAAATATGACTAGAGATGAAAAAAGCACAGAGGAAGAGAAAACCAAGATAAGGCCATGATTTTTGAGACAATACTAGAGCACATGGGTTCAGGCAAGATAATTTTAAACTATTAAAAAAACTATTAAATATGGCTACAGCTGGCCATGCTGTTGGTCACTCACTCCCCAGTGGAGCCACACTGCTCCTGCTGAGCTTCTCTCCCAGTTTGCCTCAACTCCAGGCTTGGAGTCACACTCTGTCCCCACCAGGGCCCAGTGTGCCTCAGTGGCCACCAGCACCTCACAGCTACATGTTGCCATCATCACTTTTGGCAGCAATTAAGCCACATAATGAGACTTTGGAGGAAATCAGGTTCCTGCTGTTTGTAGTGCTGTAGTAACGACTGAGGCTAAACCCATGTGAACACAAAGGAGGGCAGTGCATCTCTGTTGGACAAAACAACTGAGGGTGGAGAAAGGAGATTTCTCCACAGCAGTGGTAAAAGCCAAACTCTGTCAGCACCGGAGCACAGCAAAAAACAACTTAGTGACAGAACCCAGGAAATTCCTCTGGCTGCCCTGGAGGACTCCAGACCCTGCCAAGGGTCTCAGAGACCTTGGCACCCCTGTGCCTTTGATTTGACCCACAGAAAAAACAATTACCAACCTTTATATGAAGAATTACAAGTCACGAGAGTTTAAGTAGAATAATAGTTTGTCACAAGGTGAAAAATAGACTGGACACGCTTAGATTCCTCCATCCTGCTTCTTGAAACCCCATTCTAAAAACTCTAAAATCTAAGCGTGTCCAGCCTTTCTCCTTCTTCTTCTTCTTGGCCTCCATCTTCTGCTGTGATGGTGGCACTTCTAAATTAGTTTAAACTAGAAACTCACTGTCTAACATAAGTGATAAGTATTGAGAAGTTACAGTAAATAATATACATGTAGTTTTTGGTATAAAAAGGTAACACCACCCCAAAAACAGGCAGTGTACCTCAACCCGACCTGCCAGACAGACCTGCAGCAGGTTGGGGAAAGAATGTTATAGGTAAGAAATAATAAACAACCTTGAGAACGAGAACAAAAAAATTCCGATGCCTTCTTCAACAGCCAGGCTGGGAAAAAGAAGCTTGTACATATCTCAGGGTCACTCTGACCAGCAGAAATTCTGAGGACTTAGGGGGCCCTTTTGACTCCTTTTTTTCTTTGCTGTTTCAGTCACAAACTGTGCTCCCCTCTCTTGCAGGGCTGCCAGCGCGGGATGGAGACGCAGCCGCAGCCCTGAGCGGTGCTGCTGCCCCCGTCTGCGCCCAGCTGTGCCCAGCCCAGCGCCATGAGCGGGTTCCTGTCGCGGCTGGACCCGCGGCGGGTGCCCTGGGGGGCGGCGGGCCATGCCCTGCGCGCCCGCGTCCTGCGCACCAAGCCCGTGGAGTCCATGCTGGAGGGCACGGGTGCCGCGGCCGCCCAGGGTGCCCGGCTGGCCAAGGTGCTCACCACGCTGGACCTCATCTCCCTGGGCGTGGGGAGCTGCGTGGGCACCGGCATGTACGTGGTGTCCGGCCTGGTGGCCAAGGAGATGGCGGGGCCCGGCGTCATCGTGTCCTTCATCATCGCTGCCGTCGCGTCCATCTTGTCAGGTGGGTTTTTGGGTAATGTGCCGTGTCCTGTGTCCTCTCCCTTCCTCTCACTACTCAGCACCACAAGCTACAAGGAGGGAGCAGCCTCCCCATCAACTCAAAACCATTTCCCACAAGTGTCATGCAGCTCATGGGGTGTGCTGTCCCTCGTTGCCCAAATATCAGACCAAACCTTGTCCTGGGAGCCAGCAGCCAAGCACAATTATCCTGGCAGCTGCCAATGGCTTCTACAAGGATGGAGCCTGCAGGCAATAATTTTAAGATATTTGTGAGTTTTGCAGAGTGTGTTCTAGGCCAAGAGTGTGGTCAAGCCACGGGACTGGAGTGAGAGCTTGTAGGAAACTCAGTTCCAACAGGAAGGATGTCTGTGGCTTGGGCAGTACCAGGGCCAGCTTCTTTTGTTGACATGGCTAACAGTTAAAAAATTACTCAATTAGTTCTGGAGTTGATTTCATTGGCTCCCATTCATGCAGGGTCAGTCTTTGAATTTCCAAACAAAAAAAAAAAAAACAAATGTGCAGGGAGAGAGAAATTATGTATTTTAGTGACAACATAGTGAACTCTATCTCCTCTGTAGGAACCCAGCTGAGCATATGGCTCGAGCTGCAGTTTCTCCATGAAGCCAGTACTGCTGGCATTTGTCCTTTCCAGATCAATGCTAACACGATGATGTGATGTTCCTGCTCTCTCTGCTCAGAGGACTTTGCATGCTGTGTCAGTCTGGTATCCAGCTTTTGTCTGTGGGTTGGATAAAGAGACCTGAGCAAATGGCAAAGGGCTTTGATAGAAGACAGGAAGAGACAACACAGCAAAGTGACCCAGATCAGCTTTTCGAAACTTTGGATTTTTGTCATGAGAGGTGGAAGCACATTATGGTCTTTCCCAGAGTTTGCGGTGCTCCTCCACATAGATCCCACCAAAGTGAGGGGGAGTTTAAACCCCTGATGTCCCTGCAAAGGCACAACCCTGGCAGAGCCCAGGGATAATTCTCAGGCTCCCTCCAAAGCCCACAACAAGAGCTGAGAGCTTGCAATGAGATCCAATGCTTATTTGTGTGCCCAACACAACAAATGAACCAAGACGCTTGTTTTTTATCCAAGGCAGTAGATAGCATCAGTGTCTCTCCTTCCCCGCTGCAAAGGTTTTGTTGGCAGTGATGCAAACCAAGAGCAAACGGAGTTTGGGTGGGTCTCTGCTAACACAAACACCCTGTCCTCCAAAAGGGGTTTTTTCACCCCAGACATGAGCCTTGCCCCGCAGCAGGAGCTCCTCCCGCCTTCGCCCACAGGAGCCCGCGCCGCTTTCATCTCCCCTTGCTTTTGTAGCCCTGGGACAGTGTTTTGTGAGGGATGCAGTGTTTGGATAGTCTCCTTGGCTGCTTCCTCACCTCATCATTAGCGCTGCTGTTGTTTGGAACAGCAACACTTTTTTGGCAAGTAAAACCAAGTAAGAATTCAGGAGCTGAACGGGCTGTTAGACCCCTTGGGGATGTGATTTCAGCTTTCCCATTTGGTCACGCCTGGTGTGCCAGGCGCTGAATTTGGGCATGTGTGCATGAACAGATTTTAAGGAACTTTTTCTTTGTCCATCACAGATCACTAAGTCAAACCCCACTACTTGCAGAAGTGAGCACAGAAGGGTTTTGGATTTAAAAATACCCCCAAAAACAGACAAATCAAAACCATCCAGGTCATATGGCTTCCCAGGGGGACAGCCATAGGGAAGCCCTGCCATAGGGAAACCTCTTTGCACTATTAAGCCTGGTTTCAGAAAGGGACTTTTCTAATTTCATCTACTCAACAAATTCTACTTATGCCTTCCATAGTTTTAAGCAACACATACCTCATCAGGGTACTTACAAACACACTATAATTGATTAAACTGGTAAATTAAATCAATCTCCCGTTCTCTCACTAGAAGGCCTTTCATTCATCTCTCAAGTAGAAATGCTTGCCCAGCTTCTCTCCACAAAGCCCCCGGTGCACTTCAGGTTCCTGCCATCAGCTGTGACTGCCAGCATTCCCCACTTTCACCCCTGTTTATCCAAAACCTTTCCTTAGCAAAAATCAGTAGTTTGCATCTCACCCAACCCCATCACTCTCTCCATAGTCTTTCCCACCAGCCATTTAGTAATCTCTCCTAAAGCAATAACCCAGTTTGGAGCTCAGTGCCACACTCTTACCTGAGAGTGGTGCAGGAACAGGATCAGCAGCAGCCAGGATGGAGCAGGGCAGAGCTGAGCATGTGCCTCAGGTGCTGCTGCCTGCAGGATGAGGGCTGGGCTGAGGGGCTGCAGCTGCAGCTGCCTGGGTGGAGCTGGAGAGATCAGAGTCCTTGCTCTCTGGGAGCTTTCCTTATGGAGCTGCCTTTTATACATCAGCACATGGTGATCATGAAATGCAATGGACAGGCTCACTGGCTTGATGAAAACAATATGCCTTCCTCAATAAGTTGGCTGCTCTTGGTTGATGAAAGATGGTCCCTCTGAATTTCTTGTGTGGCAGCATGGATTATTTGGAGTTACCTCCAGATCAGCTGAAAGGCCCCTCTCAGAAGTTATTTTTCCCCTGAATCATCCATGCCAGTGCCCTGTGAGATGTCTCATGGTTCCTGTGCAGCCTTGTGCCAAGTATCAGTGGCAGGGTCAGCACCCACATCACGGCCACCACCATGCCAGCACACCAAAAGCACCAGTTCTCATGCCACCAGTTGTGCTGCCCAGTGGCTGCTCTGTGGATGGGATCTTGGAAGGACCAAGGCCACTCAGCTGTGTTTATGTCCTGCTGAACAGTGTCAGTGACTGTGTAATTACACAAGTGTAATGACTGTCACACCAACTGCACAAGGGTAGCAGACATTCCAGGAAAAGAAATTATCCTCTGTAGAATGTTTGTTCTTTCAAAAAAAACCACTGTGTTGTCTTGTTTTCTTCAGAAATTGCAAACACTCTTGATTGAGGGGAAGAAGAGAAATCTGTCTCCAAATTAAACAGTTGTGACAGGGAGGATGTACCCAGACTCACCCTGCAATTCCAGAGCAGGGCTGGCTGTGCAGGGGCGCTGGGAGAGCTGCATTCCTCTGCATACAGGGGAACAAGGTGCTGAATGGCTTGAACTGCCAAGGAGTAACTGAGTAACACAGTTTTATTGTCCAGTTAGATTGTAAAAATAATAATAATAAAATATTAATAATTATAACAATAGTAATAATACAGTGAGAATGCAGCAGATATTAATATATATAATATGTATATTTGTGTGTAATACCTGCTGGCACCTAATGCTGATACTCTCAACCTACTACTGTACCCAACCCCTAGTGAAAAACAGCTCTTCTATTTTGGGATCCAAGTAGAATAATCAAAAACTCCAACATTTTATACATATTCATTTCTTTGCTTTATCATTATCATTGTGTATCAATAACCATCCTCTTCAATCATTATCTTGTCGATGGCTAAAACAAGAGCTGCCTACAAGAAAGAGAGTATATATATGTATTTTTAAGGCCATCAAAGAGAGAAACTAGATACTTGTCTTCGTCAGAGCACCAGTTTCATAAATCATTCAGGTCTGCAGTTATCTGTGAACGCCGTACCTTTGCCGAGTGCATGCATTTTTCATCAGCTTTGAATAATGACTGTCGGTAGGGCTGGATGGATGATGGAAACCTCTCGTGGCTCCTGTTGGGCTGCTTTACAGAAATCAAGTTTTGAAGAGTCCCATTGCAAAGCAACCCACACTCAAGTTAAGCAGCGAATGGAATATAAAAATCCTCCAGAAGCAGGAAAACAAGCACCACCAAATTCAGCTTAAGAGATTCAACAACTCTGTGTTTGTACAGTGTAAAAACAGCACTTAAGGAAGAGCAGCCACCTCATAACATTTTTATAAGTTATTCATTCCCCTCTCTGTACTAAACTGATTGCAATTTGAAGCAATTATTATCTTCTAAATGGAGAATATCGGTTGATAGAGAGCTCAATAATTACTACGTGTTTACTCAATGGTAGTAACAGCCTTAACCAATTCACCCATATGAACTTTACTGGGGTCTTTGGGGCAGGGGCCTAATCAGTTTAAACATGCAGGACCCTTTCAGCACTTGTCCTGAATAATATTTGGAGAATTTGAGACTAAGTACATCCATTCATTTTTTTAAAAAAACTAATGGTTGTTTTAATACATCAATGTGTCAGGGTCAGGTTTTTATTAAAAATTATCTTGACATAGTAAGTGCCCAAGGGGTTCAAAAAGTATTGAAGTCTGATGAATCCTCCTCCCAAATGTTTACAGTTAAATACTTTTTGCTTTGCTTTTCTTCTTCTGCACAGTTAGTTTTGCAAATATTCTTTAGAAGATTTAAATATAATATTTTTTAAGCATTAAAATAAGTTATGTTCTCTGTGTAAGACATCTTCAAGCTCCTCTTGCCTGGGTATGAACAAAAGCAAGGATGATCAGGACAGTGCTCATGCCTGGATCTGCAGAAATAATGCAGGATGAGTATTTGGAGATTGGAAGTTTGGGGCAGGGAGAGGTGTAGCCTTCTGTGGCATCTTCCTCTGGGATGAGACTGTGCAGCACTGGTCCAGGATCCCATGTAAACATCTGGCTGGTTTGAACTGTGTCTTGTCAAAAAGAAAAGCCCAGAAATATTTCCTAGTGGAAAATATTTCCTAGTGGAAATACTTCTGGTTTTTAAGCCAAGAAACAGGGGAAGGAAGGTCACCATGCAATGTCTCTATGTTCCTGACTTTGACTGCAGTCCTGACACCTCCTAGCACCTCTGGGAAGGTGGCACCCAGGCAGTTTTACTTTTTCCATTTCCCAACCTCTTTTTCCTTACACCTCTTCCTCTTTTTCCAACCAGGTGTTTGCTACGCTGAGTTCGGCGTGCGCGTCCCCAAGACCACGGGCTCTGCCTACACCTACAGCTACGTGACCGTGGGGGAGTTTGTGGCGTTCTTCATCGGCTGGAACCTGATCCTGGAGTACCTGATCGGGACAGCTGCAGGGGCCAGTGCCCTCAGCAGCATGTTTGACTCGCTGGCCAACCACACCATCAGCCGCTGGATGATCAGCAGCGTCGGCACGCTCAACGGCCTGGGTGCGTCCTGCTGGGCACAGACACCTCCATCAGTTTGGGCAGGAAAAGTAATTGGGAGCTCATCAGGAGTCAGGCATGGATATTAGGCTTCATTCATTATTTACTGTCTGGCTGGCTCTGGTATTTCGCCTCAGCAGCCTGGCGCACGGGCGGGATTGGAGGGGATGGGATATGGGATATTTTGAGCCCCTTTGGGATGAGCTGGCATTTAGAATGCATGCACAGAAACAGTCGAATGTCACAGGGTAAGGGCAGCACAGAAACCCTTCATCCAGTGCAAACACTCTGCTTGGTCCCCTTGAGGCACACACAGAATTTTGTTAGAGAGCACAAGCTGGTGTCAGCTGTACTGCTGGGGATGGGGGGCTGTGGTGGTCCTGTATGACCAGCAGCTCCAGCAACAGTCCATGAATCCTACCAGTAAGCAAACCAGCCAGCTGTCCTGTACCTGTGTCATGAAAACTTCATGGCTGATTGGTTTTTAATGAGTACTTGGCAGATACATGTTATGCAAATTGGGACACGGTCATTGGTCTGCTGCTCTCCCAAAAGTCTGAACGGTGTCTTGAGACCTCAAGATTTATCACCTTAATTAAACAACTTTAGCTAGTGGAGACATGGGCCTCTGGAGACCACTTTTGCAACGAGACCAAAGAGTTCTGCAAAACTTCAAGGTCTGAAAAGTGTTTAAAACTCCCCCACAGCAATTCTGGGTATTCTGTGGATGGAGAGTAGCACATCTCTTTTCTCTCACCTAGGGAAAGGAGAGGAGTCATACCCTGACCTTCTTGCTCTGGTCATTGCTGTCATTGTCACCATCATTGTGGCCATGGGGGTGAAGAACTCGGTGGGACTGAACAACGTGCTCAATGTCATTAACTTGGCAGTTTGGGTCTTCATCATGATTGCTGGCCTGTTCTACATCAAAAGTGACAACTGGGCTGAAGGGCAGTTCCTGCCATTCGGATGGCCAGGGGTAAGTGTGGGAGCACCGAGGGACACACAGCACCTGAGTGCTGCCACACTCTCAGCCTGGCTCATGGTGTACTCACCCCAGTTCTGCTGCACCCTCCAGGTCCCAGCCCTGCTAAATCCACCTGTGCTTTGGCCAGGGATCTCCAAATCCCAGGAGTGCAGGCTTGGATCCAGACCTGCCCTTTCCACCAAACCCAAAGAGTACAGCAATGCTTCATCTCCTAACTCCTCTTAGCATAAACCCAGAACTTTTCCAAAATGTCCTTCTGCAGACTCAAACTCCTCATGGGAGTATCCCCAAGGAAATGCCACTAATTGCCAGGCAATGGAGCAAAATGCTGTGGCTATCTGAGACAGGGAGCTCCAGAGAGCTGGCTCAGCCTCTGCGGAGTGGGGAGATACTTTTGTTGGCTGGTTTTCAACAACAATGTTCTCAAGCATTTGTTTTGAGCACTTCATAATGCCACCTGCCAGCACTTATTTTATGGATGTTCCCTCAAAGCTTACTGAGAATTTGGACATATTTGGCTTTTTTAGCTTGCTTGCACTGGTTTTTATCCAAGGATGAACAGAGACTGAAAATATCTCAGCTGGCCTAAACCCAAGATAATTTCTCAGATTTACACTGCGCAACTCCATTGGGGTTTTGTGCAGAAAAATAAGCAAGAAAGTAAAGTAAACCACGAATCTTGATTATTGAAAGGGTCCCAAACCTGCATATAGTCCCTGCACCTTCATCCAGTAAATCAATGCATCTCTGCCAAAGAACAGCAGTGAGGAGATGAGCTCTGAGGCTCACTTGACAACAGAGGTCATATTTACCTTTGGGTTGTGCTTGGGTTGTTATACTATATAATAGGAGTGAAAAAGAGAAAATGGAAAATATCTGTTTTGCTCCAATTCAATCTCTTGGGGAAAAAAAAAAAAAAAAAAAAAAAAAAGTCGTTTTAAAAGATAGATGCATACCAAAAACACAAAAAACCTCAGTGGGGTGGTCTCATCCTTTTCAGCTGGCTCATTGTCTCACAAGTTGTTTGTAAAAGTAAAGCCACCACCAAGAACAAGTGTGAGATTCCCAGCAGCATAGGGCATATTTTAAAAGGATAATTACAGACAGTCCCTGAAAGAGGTGAGTTTTACTGTGTGCAGTATCTCCTGACAGCTGAGATGACAGAGGTGTGATGGACAGGTGGTACCCAGCAAGCTCCAAGGGTTTCACAGCTCCAGATCAGCCAGGCTGTCTTCACCCTGCTCCAATGTTCCTTTCCTATAAATGTCCTCGCTAATATTGTATATTTTTAAAAATCACATTTAAAGAAAAATAACCAAACAGTACAAATAATTCCTCATCCAAGTGCTCCAGTGTGTGCTCCTAACCTGTCTGCAGCTTCCAAGCAAAACAGAGGTTGTTTGGGAAGCGGCTCACATCTGACGGCTGCTGCTCTCTCCTGCTTCCTCTGCAAGCGGATCTTGCTGCCACATGAGACATCTTGCTAAGGCAGAACGTGTAAACATGTTCCAGATCCCTACTCATAAAAATGGATTTGGGGTGGAGGATTGTTAAAGCAAACCTGAAATTGGTTGATTGTCTCCTCTGACAGTGGCAGGATCTCCCGGCGTTTTCAGGCACTGCAGGGTTGTGGGGTGAGCTGCAGATGCCTCCATGGCTCAGGGCACAGGTTGAAATCTTTTCCCCAGTTCAGATCAGTGGTTTAGGGGTGCTCCCATGGTCAGTCCCCAGAGCTATACCCCCTGACCTGTGGCCACTCACCCTTTAGCTCAGACAAGGCACAACAGCGCTGCTCTGTTTTTGCTCAGCTCCCTCTCCCTGGCTGGGTGCCAGCCTCCCTCCTGGCACCCAGATGTTTGATCCTCCCCACAGGTGCTCAAGGGGGCTGCAACCTGTTTCTATGCCTTCATTGGCTTCGACATCATTGCTACTACAGGAGAGGAGGCCAAGAACCCCAACACCTCCATCCCCTACGCCATCACAGCCTCGCTCGTCACGTGCCTGACAGCTTATGTGTCTGTAAGTAGTCCCTGCACAGGTGTGAATGTACATAAATATGTATGGATGCATGTAAATATATATATATGTACCATGTGAGTCCTTCTGGGCACCTGCCCAGTGCCTGCCAAGGCTCCTCTCTGTTTGTCCCCAGGCTCCTGTCACCTGACAAGACCCCTCTGCCAGCTGCAGGGACGTGGTGGCAGGCAGGTTTTTTTTGTCCCCATCCACAGCTATTTTTGCACCCAGGAGAGAAGCAAAGAAGGAGCAGCAGCACTGCAGCATCCTTTCTCCGTGGTTCTGGGAAAAGCAGCACTGCCTCTGCTGGAGATACAGGAGAGGATCCAAGTGAGGGGAAGGATAGGCAGGGATGGCTGTGTGAGATTGCACTGCTCTGCACCCCAATAAAAGCATGCCTGTGCTCAGAAATTTTCCTTGCAAAAGAGCAAAAATTAGTTATGAAGGAGAAAAAAGCACTGTTCTGATAATTTCAAAGAAACTCACCTCTCCTGCATGGGAGTGGGCTTCTCATGAAAACAAATTCTTTGACTCGAATAGGACCAGAGTGCTGCTCCAAGCAATGCAGTCTGGATTTGGGGTCTGCCCCAGCATTATTTCCCACACAGGGATGCAGCCAAAGTGAGTGTTACTAACCCTGCCAGTCCCACCAGCCTCACCAGTCCCACCTGACTCCTGCATCACCCCTGAATTGAGGTTCAAGCATCCCCTTCTTGCCTTTGGGTAGCAGAGACTAAGACCCCACAGTTTTCTGGATTAACCACCCTACAGCAAAGTGCAAACAGACCAAATTCCAGCGTTTTACATCCCCTCCCCCCTGAGAATACCCAGCACCCCTAGTGCTGATGCTGACAGCCCTGTCCTGCTCCTCTTGCCTTGCCAGGTGAGCATGATCCTCACGCTGATGGTGCCCTATGATGCCATCGACACCGAGTCCCCACTGATGGAAATGTTCGTGGTCCACGGCTTCTATGCAGCCAAATTCATCGTTGCCATCGGGTCCGTGGCTGGCCTCACTGTCAGCCTGCTGGGCTCCCTCTTCCCAATGCCCAGAGTCATTTATGCCATGGCTGGAGATGGGCTGCTCTTCAGGTCAGTCATACCCATGCTGGCAGCCTCTTGGGATCTGAGGGGAAATTGTTCTGGGGTTTTGGGGATCCCATGCTGTCACTACAGGGAGCAATGGGCATGCACAGACACAGTGGATGCAGAATGGGGCACAAACCAAAGCCTTGTCCTGGGGGGAAAATATCAGAGGCAGTCTATCCTACAGTTTCTCATTTGATGCTGTTGCCTAGAGATTCTGATTATGTGGGGATGACTGTTTAATTCAAGAGCTACTTGCAAAGGAGAGCAGTGCATATGGACAAAATCTGTACTTGTTTGCAAGTATCTGAGTGCTCATTGCAGAGCTGGTCAGACCCACATCTAACTCCAAATTCAACTTCAGCAGCGTTGCCAGTCCCCATTTGGAATCAAAGTTCCAAAAAGCAGCAAGACCTGAAGGGATCCCCGAGACTGTCCCCTGCAACGAGGGAAGGGTTATTGCAGCCTCTATGATTTTAACTTCCTGTGACTGTTCTGTGCTCCAGGTTTTTGTCCCACGTCAGCTCTTACACAGAAACCCCTATCGTGGCTTGTATCGTGTCTGGGTTCCTGGCAGCTCTGCTCTCCTTGCTGGTCAGCCTGAGGGACCTGATTGAGATGATGTCCATTGGCACCCTGCTCGCCTACACGCTGGTGTCCGTCTGCGTCCTGCTCCTCCGCTACCAGCCCGAGAGCGACATCGACGGCTTCGTCAAATTCCTCTCCGAGGAGCACACCAAGAAGAAGGAGGGCATCCTGGCAGACTGTGAGAAGGAAGCCTGCTCTCCTGGCAGCGAAGGAGAGGAGTTCTCTGGCCCACCAACCAACACGTGTGGGGCAAAAAATCTGCCGTCGCTGGGAGACAACGAGATGCTAATTGGGAAATCCGATAAATCCGCCTACAATGTGAATCACCCCAACTATGGCACCGTGGACATGACCACGGGGATAGAGGCAGATGAGTCTGAGAACATCTATCTCATCAAGCTGAAGAAGCTGATCGGCCCTCGGTACTACACCATGCGGATCCACCTCGGGCTGCCGGGTAAAATGGATCGCCCGACGGCGGCCACCGGCCACACCGTCACCACCTGCGTGCTCCTGCTCTTCGTCCTCATGTTCATCTTCTGCTCCTTCATCATTTTTGGGTCAGACTACATCTCTGAGCAGAGCTGGTGGGCTGTGCTCCTGGTGGTGCTGATGGTCCTGCTCATTGCTGTGCTGGTGTTTGTGATCTTGCAGCAGCCAGAAAACCCCAAGAAGCTGCCCTACATGGCCCCGTGTCTGCCCTTCGTGCCTGCCTTCGCCATGCTGGTCAATATCTATCTCATGCTGAAGCTCTCCACTGTCACATGGATCCGATTTGCCGTGTGGTGTTTTGTGGGTGAGTTCCAGGTTCATTTATTATAATTTTTTCACTGACAATCTTTTGGAAGGGTGTTAATAATAACAGCTTCCCTAATTAGAGTGCATAGGCTGATGCCTGGGAAATACTCAGTCCTTCTCATCTGCCCCTTGCCATCCTGAAGTTTTCAGAAATCTCATTTTATCCAGCCCCTGAACCACAGCTAAATGGAAATTTACACCTCCGGAAAACATCAGTTTCATGGAAGATAATGACTCCATGCGAAGGTGACTATTTTGATGGCTTTTTTGATGCAGAGTAGGCAGGTTCTGGAAATAGCCTCACAGGCAGGTTTGGTACAGAAATCACTTTGATTTGTTGCTCTGTCACCCACTTGAGCTTTTCAGCAGCCCACACCAGTATTTCAGCACTGCTTTTCCAAAGTCCAGGGGTACTCAATCCTAGAAGCCCTGGGAAAGTCATATCTGTAGACTGTATCTCCTTTTAGCTCAAGCTCTTAACTTCTGGGTAGGGGCATCTTAGGACTCACAGAGTCTGTCGTGGATAATTTTTTTCCCAAATTTAGGCTTTCTGACACATAACCAGCAGTCTAGCATATCCACAGTGCTTTACTTTGCAACCCACTAAGTCCACAAACCCAAGAGAATAAAGCAGATATCATAGCTCTTCCAAGCTGAGCCATTGGGCAGGGGCTGTCATCTACATTTTTGGGCCAGAGAAGACATAGTCAGTGCTGTTTTGGGCCTTTAGGTCAATAGGTGAAGCTGCAAATCCAGGGAAAGTCCTTCCATCTGGAAGAAAAGATGACTCCAAGGCATCAATTTAATCTGGTGTGATTAAGCACTTTCCTCTGAGGGTACAACTAACACCTCTTGAGCTGCCAGAAATGAGTAAATTAAACCACTGCATTAGGTGTGATGAGCTCCACCAGCCCTTCCATGGCTGTTGGGGGTGGGACTTCCCATTGGTTTTTCTGGCACAGATGTGAGGTCCTGATATAACCTCACATCAGTCCTCCGTGGCTAATCCATGTCATGTGGAGTCTGGTTTTCTCTGTGAGGATGTCTGGGATAGGTTAATCCCATGATGCACCAGAAATCAGACCTCTGGCTGTATTTCCTGCCAGTGAAAGCATTTGTGCATGAAGGTGAAATCAGGTAGGGCTAGAGGGGCTAATGAGTAGCTGGGGTCCAACCCTCTCCCTCTTGCCCACCCAGGTCTGCTCATTTACTTTGGCTATGGGATGTGGAACAGCACGCTGGAGATCAGCGCCCGGGAGGAGGCCCTGCACCAGAGCACCTACCAGCGCTACGACGTGGACGTCGACCCCTTCTCCGTGGACGACGGCTTCTCCTTCGCCCCCGAGGGCGAGAGCTACCCGGCCTGGGGTCCTTCTGAGGACAAGAGCTTCTCATACCAGCAAATGGCGGGCGCCAAGGAGAGCCATCGGACAAGTGGCAGGTCGAAAAGCAAAGGCCGGCACAAACCGCCGTCGGATGCTCTGATCGCCAACGACGAGCTGGACTACTCGCCCGAGTAGCGGGACAGGCGATGAGGAAGGGTCCCCGTGGCTCCCCTATCCTGCCCCATCCTCCCCGGGTCCTCCACCACTGCCCTGCTCACCTCTGGTACTCGGGACCCGCTCTGCGATTGCCGCTGACCCCGAACCAAACCCGCCCAGCTCCGTGGCCTGTCCCAGCTCCACCAGTAGGGTCTGGCTCTGGTGAACGCTGGCTGATCCCCCAGCACTGGCTGATCTCCCAGCACCAGCTGCACCAGCGAGGCAGCGGAGTGGGAGATGTGCCAAACCAGGAGGGTGTTGAGAGGTGGAAGGAGCCACAAGGGGGTACAAGTCAAATTGTCCCTGGGGAAAGTCCACCCGATGGCCGCAGCAGTGGGATGCCACTCTAAAATTTTTGGCACTTTCTTGGCATGTGTGTTTTTTTCCTTTGATCCACCTAGAAATTGTAGCTGAGCCAGAGGCACAGAGAGGTGGGTAGGTACAAAATGGAGATGGACACACTCTTCCCTGGGAGTAGCTTAGAGATGCATAGTTGGTTCCATCACACGGAGTTTCCATGGCCCATTCTGGTGCACTGCACAGAGCAGTGTCCCCATGTCCATCCCCACACTCCAAACCCCAATACTGTTATTCAAAATTAGTCCATGTCTCAGTCCAACCTTTAAGTCCCAGCACGGCCCAACACCCCAAATCTGAGGCAGGGAGCCTGATCCCATTCCTGGTCACAGTGAGGGCTGTGACCTACTCTTGGCTCAACCCTCTTTGTACAAATGGTCAATGAGGACCACACATTCCTCTGAGCATCACCAGTCTGAAGTTGGGCACTGCTTCCACCACCTTGGATCTTTTACTAAAATGACTGTGCTGTCATTCCCTCACCATGCTGGGCACCTTTCAGTGCCCACTCTGCCCTCAGTGCTCCAGACACCCATCCATGCCCTCACAAAACAGCAGCATCCATGGGTCAGCCACGTCTTGGCAGGGCTGGGCCATGGGTAGCAAGCGGAGAGGACTTGGCAACTGCAATCTGACTCCCTACTGCCGTCTGCACCTTGTAATATATTGTCTGGTTTTGACCTTGGCTTGGTGGGTGCTGTATGAAAAACACTGAAATGCTGCTCATTCCGTAAGTGTCCATATTTCAGTCTGAAACCAAACAGAGCTGGTGGATTGCGGGGCAGAGGTGGTCAGAGGTGGATGTTAAACCCCCTGAACATGGCCATGGCCCCCAGAAGTGCCATCAGACTCCCTGCTGCCTGTGTCCCCACAGAATTGTTGGTCAGCAGTGATGGGGTTTGGTCAGTGATTATCAGCAGGTCCAGTTGTGGAGCCCATCATGCTTCATGTAAAACACTGTGGTGGAGGAACAGTTTTTGAATAAACAGTAACCAAAACTCATCAGACAGCAACTCCCATCCTCCCCCCAGCTGCTGATGGCTGCAGATGGATCCATACCAGTGGCTCCAGTGCAGCCCAGACCAACCCCTAGTACCATGGGCTGCTGCTGTCATCCCAGGGGACAATTTAACATCAACAGGGGCAGGATTTCCAATACAGAAATATCCTTGTGGATTTGAGAATCTTTAATGCTTTGGTGCACTGGATGAGGCTCAGGCTCCCAAAACACCTGCCTGGCACCCTCTGTGGGCAAGGAGGTGCAAAGGGTGCCTGGACCTGTGCCCATCCCCATCACTCCTGGAATGCAAGAGCTTGATGGAGACACTCTGCCTGGGGCTGCAAAAGTATCCCTCCAGCTCCTGTCCCAAACAGTGGCAAAGTCCTTTTCTCAGTGGAGAAGAACGTCCAGTTCTGCAGATCTGAACCTGGAATGCTCTGGGCTAGCCAAGGGAAGTTTGGCTTCTGAAGCAGCTTCAGGGTAGGAGTGAGGATTTGGCTAAAGGACCTGTAAGCTTTGCTCTGGCATTGACTCCTGCTGCCCACCCCTACCACGCTTCTACAAGGAGAAATCCTGAGTGTGTCCCACTGAAAAGCTGCTCACGGGCCAGCTCAGGAAAACTCTGCTGCAGCACTGAGCTCCTCTTGTGATGGTCACTGCCCACCCATGCTTGGCTGCTCTCGTCCTTGATGCCTTAGAAGTACCCAAGAGAGATGGCACCTCTCACAAGTCTGGCTGTGTGTTTTCAGGGAGAAAGATTGATGCTATTTTCCTACCAGCTCTTGTACTATACCATATCCAAGGCAGTCGTTTTCGTCCTGCTCCCACACGGTATTTGGGCATCTGCTGAGCCACAAACTCATGCCCAAGCACCCTGTTGGGTCAGAGCCTGTTCTTCTTGCAGCCTTAATCTCTTGCTATGGAGCAGTTCCCAGTACCAGTGTCTGTCGTCACGTCCGCTCGAGTCACGCCGTAAAATTTGACAAGGGCTTGACCCCTTGTTCTTTGGTGTCTGTAGGAACTTCTCCATTGGATCTGAGCAGCCTTTTGGCTGCCCCCATTCCCAGCCACCCGTCCTCCTTCCCCTTCCAGGGGAAGATGGCTGTGCCCCATCCTGGGACCACCAGAGATCAGCATTTGATGCCACCACAGGACTGTCAGATGTGGATGGGCTGCTGTCAGCCCTCGCCATGCTGGAGGTGGGAGCTGCACCACATCCCACCCAACAGAGGTGTTTAAGGAGAAGGGGACCAAGCCACAGGTGTTGGGGGTTTGCCAGTGGCCAAAGGCTGGGTATACAGGATCCTTGCTCCCTGTTCTGCATGGCAGCTCCTGGGAGATGTGCGGGTTCAGCCTCTGGCAACTCATGTGCTGTCTCTTGTGGCAGCATTGAGCTCTTCAGTGGGCACGAGCAAAGGCTGAGAAGGCAAAATGTCCAGGTGTGCCCATCACCTCTGGGCACTGCTGGCCAGGGGCTGGGAAGAGGTGCAAGTGCTTATTTTGCTGTAACCCAAACTCCAGCCTTTCCCTGGCGTGCCCTGAGGGAGGTTCTCAATCCCTGAGCCCTCAGGAGGATGTGGCAGAGCGGGACCATCCTGCTCCCACCTCTGGTGAGAGGCACAAAGCCCCTCCATGCCTGCCTGCCCTCCCTGAGGGGCCAAATGCATGGTACAGATGGCATAAATACCTCAAACCTTCCAGGCCGGCTCTGTAAGATCTCAGCCCCTCCACAAATTCACTCGACATGGTCATGACCCTTCGGTCCAGCACTCCAGCATCCTCCACATGGCAGCAAAATCACACCCCAGCAATATGGGATGTTGTAAATCCAGCTTGTAAATGACCTTCACTTCGTTTTGTTCAGTCTTTCTGATGTATATCTTGCTTTTATTTTTTTTGCAGGTGGTACTTTCTGGTGTAACAATTCTCTGCAGTTCTGGTATGAAGTTGGTGTATTTGTTAAAAGCAGTTTGTTCTATCCATTTTTATTTTTTTTGTGGTTTCCAGAAGCCCATTGGTGCATTGTACAATGGGGTCTTGTAGTGTGTCATGAGAAAGAAAAAAAAAATGCAGATATGTTATGGAGTGATTTTTATTTTCAAATGACTGTGTTGTTGACAACTATACATATAATACATCTATATAATCGAGATACTAAGAAAAAAAATCTAAATTTACCAAAATCTGTATATTTTAATAAATGCATAAAGCTTTACTGTGTGCCTTTACATTTAAAAATCAAAGAGGAACTAAGGGATTTGTAAAGAAAGCCAGAGACAAATGTGTCTTAGAATTAGTTTCCATAGTAATGTAAATCTGTTAAATGAAAGACTAAACCAAAAAGTAATAATAAAAAAACATTCCCATGTAAATTTTGTTTAGCCAATCAGTACCTGAAGTTCTGATATTTTTTCAGTGCTAAATTGAAGCTAGAAATTAACAAAATCTTGCTTTAAGTAATTCAAAAATTCCATTTTAAAAGACCCATTTCAGCTGGCTTTATCATTTACTTGTAGTGTTGTGAGAGAAAATGGTTATCTGTTTACACAATAAAAAAAAGGGAAAAAAAAGAAGGAAAAAAAAAAAGCCAATGACCACAGGTTGACTATTGCAGTGCAAAGGCCTGGGGTGCACCAATGTGCTGGCACTCACCTTTCCCTGGAGGAGCTGGGGTGTCACAGCACTGTCCCCTCCCTGCATGGGCAACAGGGCTGTGGAGAGGCAGACACAGCTGCCTGTCCCTTTTGGGGTGCTCAAGGCCACCAGTGTCCCCCCAAGGGCTCCTTCCTGCTACCCCTGTTATTTGGGGAGTGGGGAGCCTGCCAGGTGCTCCCCCCATCGCGGAGATGGGATGAAGAGCTCCAAAGAGCTCCAGCTGGTCCTGGAGGAGCTGTGGAGAGCTCTGCTGGGCATCAGGAACCACCACCTCCACACTGGGGTGACCACCATGGCTCACAGGCACCACTCCACACTTGGTGTTAGGAATGGTGTGGAGCAGTTTTTTGGTTCAGGAGAATTATATTTGATCCTATTTTGAGTCTTTAGGTCAGCAAATGAGCACTAAAAGTCTTCATGAGCCAACAGTGCTGTGGCCAATCCAGATCAAGAGAGCCCCACAGGGGAGCAGGGTGTTTTGGGCAGGTACAAAATAGGTGTTTCAGTTTTGATCCTTTAAAAACTAGAAAAGTTTAATGTTCTTTGTGCTTCCTCAGAACTCTTCCCCTCTGTGGTGCCAGCACTAATACCCCATCACATTCTTGGCCCCATTTCCTTGCACCCCATGATTGCAGGTATGCATTTCCCGTGCAGCTGCTGCAGGGTTTATTTGCTTTGTTTGGTTTTTATTTCTCTTCCCTGACATAAAACTTCTTCCTTCCTCTGAGCAGCACTCCCAGGGCCTTTCAAGAGTTGGTTTTGGGGTTGGATGCTGGTAACCTGTGGCTGTGGGCAGAGCACAGAGAGCCCCAGCACCATCATCTGCCAAGGGTCCCCAGCACCATAAGGATCACGGGATGGGTGAGAGTGGAAGGCACCGGGTGCATCCTAACGGGGTGGGCAGGAATAAAAATCCCCTAAGCGCTGCCTGGCAGGGCTCATGTGCCTCCCGCAGCACCAAAACCCTCCCCCGGGCATCCGACCCGGGTGTTCCTGTGCTCTTCCCTCCAGGGCTGTTCTCAGGCAGCATTCCATCGCATCCCTGCTCGGAGGCGTCCCCCGCCGCAGTCGGTGCCGGGGTTAGGAGGGTGAACCCGCGGGCACAATCCACAATCCCCGGGCAGCCTGCACAAGCTGGCACGTCTGTGCCCCCCTCCGCCCGGGGCACCCGCACATCAATGGCAGCACTGACAGCGTCCCCGGGCTGTACAAGAACCGCCTGTGCCCTGCCTGTGATGTCATGGGCACAAGTGTCCTGCCACCGCCCGCCGCCCGCCCTGGGGACATTGCACAGCGAAGCGCGGCTCGCACAACAGAGCCGCCTTCAAGGCTGCTCGGG